ATACTTTATTCCAATATCTGCCGTTCTATATTCACTTTAATTTTTTGAATCCAAGTTATTTACCCAATTACACTTTGTAGTAAACGGTCTATTTGGCTATGTAACAGCCTATATGCATAAAAAAGATTATCGAAATCTTCCGTGCTGTAGTCTAAATATAATATATCGGACACGTATCGATTCGATAGACACGAGAATCTCTTTTTATCTAATACCATAGCCATATCCGTCCGAATTCGTAACCGCACTCATCTTACGAGAGAGCAGTAAGCTATCACTCCACAGTACACTACCAACCGATGTATATACTACGATAAAAATTGTAGAACAAGTAAACACATTGAGAAATGTATGATTATTATCGAAATTTTGAATAATCCATAGTTTGTAAAACCAACCAAGAGTCTCTAAGATGGAGAACTACTACAGTATCTCAACACATTATAAAAACATCAAATTAAGCACTGAATTTATATTTATGAAGGTTAATATTGCTAAGGGATAGAGATGCGCAACGTATAGCCTCTCCTATCCAAATGTCAACCTCACCTGCCCGTGTAATGGTCTGATCCTGACCATTCGGTGCATCCTGCCAGAGAACAAACGAGGCTCTGACGTACGAGAGATTGCCGGTATAAGCAATCCCCCCACTTATTGGCCAACGGCTTCGGGCGAATGAGCTGATAAGTGGAAGGGCACCTTTTTGTCCTGAGATTGGTAAATCGGTCTCGAAGGCGAATGAACCTATTAACAACGTAACGGTCAACGGCATAAAGATGCAGAAGGCAACGGGGAACCACTGCAATAAAGACTCGGAGAGTACCCCTAGTACAATTAACATGACTACGACAAATCATAGAAACCATATTACTGATCATGGAATTCGGATACCAAGATCCGGCAGAGAAGGACAATCACAAGACGGCAAGGCCTTCTCGGTCGCCAGCAGAAGCAATTCTTGCCATAATAGTGGAAAAGATAAACCTCACGATCTGCACATGGAATGTTAAAACATTATATGAGGCAGGCAAGACTCACAATGCAATCAAGGAGATGGATAGACTATCAATAGACATAATGGGAATAAGTGAGATGAGATGGACGAGGACCGAATAATACTCAGCTATTATAAATATGTTCAATAATTTGCAGAACAGTTCTGGTTCAAGTTCAGATCATAAATATTTTGAACAAACGCATGTTAAACCATTTGTATTTTTTGTACTTTATTATCGCGAAAACGGTAGTTACAAATAAACCAAAATAGACTTCTATCTGGTCCAATAACTCCACAACAATATTTGTGTGTAACTCTGTTGGAAGACTTGGAATAAAGTATAGTTTTATACTAAAATACATAAATAGGGCGAAGTTATACACATATACTATAAACTTAATGAATAATACTAGACGTGGCTATATAATAACGATGATGACGCTGCTACAAGTGTAATATGCATACGCCAGCCGCCGATAGCTATTTAACATGAAGCCTTGTCTATCGACGCCGTTCAAAAGTTTACATAGAAATAGATACGATGTTGGTAGAATAGCTAATTCATAACAAGGGTACACATTTTGATGCATCGTCTAGGTATTTAACTCCTTTAAGTAATGAGACGAGGGATTTGCAACGCTACATACAGTAAGTCACAAATTGACGGTGTTTGGAAGGCAAAAAACTAATCTTTTGGATTATGATTGACTTCAACCAAAAGAAAGGCTGGATGAATAAAAAACTATTTCAAGACTGATTTAAAGCAAAATTTGTAACATAAGTTAAAAAAAATTAAAAGTAAAAATTTGCGTAAAACAACTGCGTTATTAATCACCAACGCCTGTTTCACATCCTGAAACGCATGTCCTCCAGTCTGCTCACTTGTCATAAGCATATGGACCAAGACGTCATTGCGTATATGAAGAGAAGTTATAGAACAAAGATAATTCGCACAAAAGTAAAGAAAGATATGATTTACAAGAGTTTTGGAAGTCATTCTCTATTCTGCGCGGGAGTGTGGAAAGTCAACAATTATGAAGTCAAATAGAAAACTGTTTGTAGAGAACTAGCAGTTAGAGAAGATAAAACTGAACTGTATGACCTTACAAGTTTATAGAAATCAGTTACTGAGGAAGAGAATGACGAATAAAAAAAGAGTGGCTAGACTGCAACGCTACCAACCTAGGATTGTAGCATCTAACGCATGGAGACATCTTAAGAAAACGAAGAGGGCAATGACGATGAAGAAGAGGAGTTTGCACCTGGGGGACGAGTAAAAACTGATGGTGCGTAAAGGGCAATGTACAATTAAAAAACAGGTTTTATTATAAAAGAAGCAGAAACAAATGACATACTACTTTCAGAAGGTGTAAAAAATGTAAGTGTACATAAAAAAATGTAAATTAAAGCTTTTGGTGAAAGGAAATTCCGCTACTTTCGTTATCCGCGGCAACTGCGCCAATTAACTCCACGGACAAGCGAAAGTTGACTGTATAATGTTTTACAGCGTCAGCCTCGTTCTTTAGTAGCCACACCTGATATACCCTAAAATACCGAACATTACATCCAATTATATCGAAGCCCAGAGATTATAATTGGTTTAAATTAGTTTAAATGGAAAAGCTGTTCATTATTACACTATAATAAATTTTACGAAGGTGTTTTCGAAATTTATGAGCTGGGGTATTACAAATATTAATTCAATACAAAATTGAATAGCAAATTCTATACGATAGTGTTTTCAAATTAATTTGTATACTGATACTTCGGCATATATTGTTTTAAATAGTTTAATATCCCATATAACCTTAAATAAGCTACTTTAAATGCTAAAACAAAACGAAACGATATATACAAAAACGCAAATGTTAAGATATAAAAAGATCACAACTGGATAAAGATAAAACATGTTATTAAAAAAAAAGATCATTAGAAATCCTAAAGTATTTTTTTAATTGGTTCAACTATGTTTTTTTAATTATTATAGACATAAAAATTATAATAATAAATGACCAAAACATGGCGGCAATGGACGAGAACGATGTGCACAATCAGCATATATCATATCATCAACACATGAAGGAGGAACTGGTAAATGAATAGAAAGTTTTTGGAAAGCACTAAACCCCTATGGCGCCAAAAAATATCCTCGTACTGCAATATAACGAATAGCATTACCACGGTATATCTTAGGAAGAGAACTAACAGCTACAGGAAAGCAGGTTGCTTTTCAGAAACAGTCTAGAGCAACCATTTCCCAATTCGCTAATCAGTCGCTCAGAATCAGAATGGCCCAACTGTTTTTTTTTGTATAATTCAGACAGATAGTACAATAGGTGGCATTTTATTATATGTTTCATTTCAAACTAACATTTCATGTATATCAAGAGATGGCGCGAGTTGTACGGTGAGGCTACGTAAACATTTCATATGATTTAGTTAAGAAATGTAGCCCAAGTGACAGTTGGGCCAGTGTGCAGTTGCATGGACAACAAACTGATGAAGTCAGCCAGGACTTTATCGATACGAACTATTGGCTATCACCAGGAAAATATCTCTCGAAACATAGGTTTTCCTTCTTACCTCCGGAACGGATGATTCCAACACAAAACCAGTCAGAAACATATCATATATCATTAAAGACCATTAGTTGCAAAAGGACGAATATCGACATGGATGTCCAGCACAAGAAATCATTCAAAATCTTACCAGGAACTGCCATGTATTTGCTGCAGCTATTCATAACTCGCTCAAGGACAAGGAGCTTGGTATTGGCGATTTTTATAAGAAAATGTAGAAAGCTTTGCCGCTCGCGACTTGCAGCTTTGCTAGGAGCTGTGTAAGAAATATTCGAGCATAAAAGTCAATTGGTCTCGATAACACGATAAGAATCCCGTTAGAACTCAATCCGTTTAATACTACAGATTTCTGGTGTGAGTGAATATTTTTTAAACATTTGCCTTTTTGCATACATTTATTCATGTATAAACTTACACTTTAGAGTGCTCAATACGTGTTATAGAATGCAAGATTTAAGAAAAATTTAATCTTTCAACAAATACTAAACTGTTCCAATAAATATAGCACGAAATGACAAAAAATAAAGTAACGAGTTTCATACAATTGCGTCTAATAAATGTAGAGGTGTACAACTTGACAGATTTGAACTTAGTGCTGATCATAACGTGGAATACAAGAACTGACAATGTGAAATTATGCTATCAATATCTTATAAAGATGATTCCAATCTAAATTAAAGTGATATAATGAATTATCTAACAAACAATGAAAAACCCGACAGAAATCTTGAAGGTAACCAAAACATTTGTCAAACGTCTAACGGTTTATGCCAGAACGATATCAGAGATGCATTTTTAAAAATTCTAGTTACACCATGTATGCTTCTACTGTAAGTTTGAAAACGTTTGACCTATTGAGAGCAAATTCAATAGGATTCTTCCTTGGACGTGTAAACAGAGATTAAAAAAGCCAAAATTAGTGCAATTGAGCAGGTAAAACTATTTTTTGACTTACATAAACTTAAAAGCAATAAAAGGACAGACTATATAGGAGATCATTTACTAAAATGAAATACTACAAAAATATTTGCATCTATATTCATAAAGACAGTTAAAGAAAATCTAAATGATGGTTAAAACTTCTGAAAAATCCAAATTGACAAAATAACTCATGGTTGTTGTAAATAGAAAACTGTAGAAGAAATCATTTCAACAAGGAAATAAACATTTTATCAAAGCAAAAATGATACATACTATAAAGACAGATATAAAAAGATTTTTTCATTAGTAAAAAAAAGTTTTAAAACAACACAAAACTGCACCTATAAGGCTTTTGTTGTGGTGTTTTGGGTATCAACAACATTACGGAATGATTGAATGGTATCGAAAATAAGTGTACACTCTTGGTAATGTGAGAATCTCTTCAGATAAAATCATAATCTCTATTTCTCTACAAAATAGTGTATTTCAACTTGTATTGTTGAAGCCAATGTATGCCGTTTTAACTTACCTCATTCCTCTTTATGGACCAAACATTCGATTATCAATATAAACATTTTTCACCTAAATATTTTCTGATTTAAAAACAAACTATTTTCTGGAATATAATAAAATGTATTATCACTTTTAAATCTAATAAAAATGGGTTTTTGTCAAGATGTCGCTCTTTAAATCATCAAATAACACGAATAGGGCACTCTTATAACAATATAGTTTCAAATTATTACACGAATAAATCGTCACGATTTTCATATACATAGTATCAATCTTACATAAAATCCGAGAACCTACAATATAACTTAAGCATTAACTCAAATTTTTTAAGTATTTTCCTCAGTGGTTTTGTTTTCAACGACTTTAAGACAGGCATCAGCGAATTCTACAAAAATTGGTTCCTGCATGGCTTTCTGCATAACTTCGTCTGCGCTTTCGGCCTGATCTATGGTTACTAGGAGATTTCTGAGGTGACTATTTGCTAATAGATTGTTCAATTCCTCATTAGTGGCTGAAAATATATTACACAAATTTATAATATACATAATGTAATATACATGGTTTATTATTATTTATTATTATATTGTATTATATTGTTATTATATTATATTAAATTTATACTATAAACAACGAGCAAAAGTACGTGTTAACAAACAACTGTCAGCAGAAATTTAAATTAGATGTGGAGTGAGACAGGGATGCGTATTGTCGCCAATTCTTTTTAATGCCTACTCCGAAGAGATCCTGAAAAACGCTCTTGAGGGTGAAACAGCTGGAATAAAGGTAAATGGAGTACCCATTAACAACATTAGATATGCGGACGACATTGTGATCTTCGCCAAAAACATTGAAGATCTTCAGAGACTGGTGACCAGAATAGCAGAGTATGGAAAAAGTATGGTCTAACAATGAACGTCAAGAAGACGAAATTATGAGAATATCGAAAACTCAAAGAAATAACGAGAATCTTTTAATAAACGGAACGAACGTCGAACAAGTGGTCAAATATACATATATGGGAACACTTATTAACTCCACAAATGATTACATTCAGGAAATCAAAATCAGAATAGAAAAGGCTAGAGCAAATTTCAACAAAATTAGAAGAGTGCTATGTACCAGGTATTTAAAACTGGAACTAAGAGTTAGGTTGGCGAGGTGCTATGTTTTTTCGACTCTATTTTATGGAATGGAATCTTGGACCTTGAATGCGATATCAATGAAAAAACTGGAATTATTCGAGCTGTGGGTGTATAGAAGAATTCTGAAACTATCGTGGACAGAACACGTCACAAACAAAGAGGTTCTGAGAAGGATGAATAAAGAAATGGAAATTTTAAATACAATTAAAACTAAGACGAAGATTTTATAAGTCTATTGATTTTTCCTAGGGTGACTGCTGTGGAATCTTTTTTTAAGTCTTTTATATACCGCAGGATCTAGAAGATTTTGTATTTTCGTTTTGTAGTCGGTTGTCTTCATTACGACGGTGGCGTATCCCTTGTCTGCTGTTAAAATTACAAGATCTTTGTCTGCGTTTAACGATTTTATGGCACGGATTTCTTAGTGACTCAGGTTATGTTTCGGTGTCTTAGCTTTATGCAGAATTCTCGCTGATTCTGTCCTTATTTCTTCAGCTCCATATAATCTGATAAAAGAAGGACTAAGAATTAACAAAACATGGATACCGATATTAAAATCCACAAACACCCTTCCCGCAAATCACATAAAAAAGAAAAGCTACAAACGACGACACGCCCCCTCACGCCGAAACCAGTGGAGGGGTGGTGAGTAGAAGAAATAAATATGACCTCCGTAGTACAACAGGGCATCAGTTTCAGCTTACAAGCGAAGCAGTAGCATCTCTAAAAGTTGCCAACCCCTAATGTTGGAGAAACGTCAAGAACTAACCTCAGAAGGCAACGGCCTAACAGCCCAAACAAACAGTTTAACAAGTTAGATGATGACTGTAAAAGCCTAACGCATTTTAACAATATTCTCCATTGCATTGATTGAAAATTATACACTTTGCTGTTTTTTGTCTAGTCTCTGTAGACTTCAGCGGTGACATCCAACCCTTGACATCTGTCAAAACTTTACTGTCATTCAATGATTACATACCTTCACTTAAAAAGAAAACTAAATATTTAAATATATTAATTTTTGTAAAAGAGTGTTTATATTACCTAATAGTTTCAATTTATCATCAGCTACTGTATCTTCTGTTACAGTTTCAATTTTTCTTCTCTTCACGATCAAGTTAGCTTCTTCAGTTTCCTCGTCTCGCTGAAGAACATTGCATTTGTTTTCTCTGTGTTTTTTACAGCAAGGAACTGAACAACTGTAAAACAAAAATCAATTATTTAAAAACAGCTTCACAGCTTCCAATGTGGAAGTTGAAACTTCATTAACAAAGAGTTTACTTTATAAATTGATCAACATTATTAGGTAATTATTATAACCACATTACTAATAAAATCCTAATATCTTTTAAATTATTTCAATTATTATAATATTTAAATTATTAATATCAAGCTGATTTTTATAATTTTTTAACTTTTCCCTAAAATATGGTTTTCTTTACACTGATAAATTTTTAAATTAATGTTTATATTAAATTTTTTACATTATATTGTAGTACTATTACTATAAACATGGAAAAATTTTCAATTTTAATGAGAATGTTTTACAGAATGCATTTTTAAGTGGAAATATGATATGAATATCTATGGACCTGGTAGTTTTCTAAAAGTTGTTAGTATATCTTGGATTTTTTACAAAATTCTATTCTTCCAGGAATATTATTTCCTAGATTAGTGCTGAACTTTTGTCTATTGGACAGTATTGGCCCAAACCCCTTTAGGAATAGTTTTGTTTTGAAAATAGACTGACTCAACAGACCCAGAAAAGATTGTTGATGGTACTGTGTGAAAAAAACTAAGTGGAATAATTTTTCTTAAATAACTTAAAAGTACGAATTTGTGTAAAATATTTCAAATTCCTTGCAGATATTCATTGACAATTATATTTTCAAACATATAAAATGATAAACTTAACTTGAAGCTTAAGACAATTATAATCTTAGAGAGTGATGACTGGGATATTTTTCTGGAAGTTTGAAGTTCATTTAACTTATCTATGTTCATATGGAATTTTAGGGGAAAAGCTTTAATTTGAATAGCCTGTAGCCAACCAATTTTTTCAAAATGTTATTTTAAGTTAAAATGAAAAAAAAAGAATTAATGAATAAATATGACAAGACTACAATTTAAACCTAGAGATGAGCAACTGATATTGAGATGATACTAAAGAAAGCAAACAAAGACTAAGAACCATAAGCAATTTATTAAAAATTATACATATTGTATATTTTTCTCTAGAATTCTTTTCTAGAGAAAAACTATAGAAGTTATTCTTAAATAACATTCAATAATATTGCTAATTCATAATCTTTTCCACAGCATACTAAAACACTATTCAAAATAATATAGAGACCTTTTGAAATAATCCCTGTTTACTTAGTCTTTCTATTTTGTTTTTGTTTCATTTTTTCATTCTATTATTATTTTCTTTGTAAATATTTTGATAATTGTTTATTGCATCTCCCTTTGTCAGAAGATATAATTTTGAATTGTATCAGCTCTTTGATGAGCCAGATGTCATAATGTTCATTAAAACACAGCGACTTACATGGGCTGGACACATAATACGAATGCCAGAAAATATAATTGCTAAAAAGCTAACCACAGGAACACCTGTAGGAAGAAGAAGCAAAGGCTGACCGCGAATTAGGTGGTTAGATGGAGTTGAAACCGACTTACGGATATTAAAAATCAGAAGATGGCAACATGTTGCCAGAAACCGAACAGAATGGCGACGAATCTTAGAGCAGGCCAAGATCCACAGAGGATTGTCGAGCCAAAGATGATGATGATCTCCCTTTGTCAATGAGACCAAAAATGGTCTTCCAAACCTTACCTATCTCCCTGCTGTTTCAATTAGTTTCTCTACTCATCTACTCTCCAGAATTTTAAACAAAATTATTCATACCTTTATTTTACTAAGAAAACAATGACTAGTGACTTGAATAAAAATAAATACAACTAAATATAAATTGGAATAGGCACTTTAAATCTAGCAGAATATTATAAATGTAACACAGTCAATTATCCAAAAACAAAATAGGAAAATTCCAAATAAACATAGAAGGTACTTTTTGCGTAAATAGTTTTTTGAGAAAAACGTGGTTTGCACAACTTTGCACAAATCGCAGTATCGGTGCTTTTTAAAATTAAATGGGTAAATAATATACTTACTAAAATATTAAACAAATTGGGCATTTATAACGTGCTTCTTTTTGGCAAATTTCACAAATTTTATTCATCTTTTTCTAATTACGTTTTAAAAAATGTGAAACTTTATTTAACCGTATCACAGCTTTTTCACTCTAATTTGTTATTGTTTCCGCTACTAATATGAAGTTAAAACAAAGATAAAGACGTTAAAAGTAACAATAACGGCGTGTTATTTAATATTTTTAAACATTTGAAGCCTATCATTTGCTTTCTGTCAAAATTCTTGTCAAATATAAATCAAATGTTATTGAACCTATGGAGTGTTGCGCTACCTAGAGCAGTTTTGCGGAAGTATCAGTGCCAGTTCCATCTGCCTGTATTTTTTAAAAGCAATACCAAGCTTAGTTCGTTAAGGTTCGTTAATCGGCAAATAGATGTCTTCAGAAAAATATAATACAAAACGTACATAAATTTTGAACATTGATAATAAAATGCAAGACATTATACAAATTCTGAAAATTAACAGAAAACCGTAATACTAAAATTATCAGAATATTATGTTAAAACTTAATAATCAGCTACTATCTTTCAGTAAAATGTGAATTTTTTCCACCCATTAGATCCAAAAACCTATAATTATAATACTTACACATTTTAGTACAACATCCAGCACAAGCAATTTCTGATTCTTCTTCTTTTAATAGCAATTGACTGTCCACTCCTCGATGTAAGTCTTATCCTGGCGTTACCATTTTAATTTGTCTTTAACAACCTGGTGCCATCGTCCAGCCATCTTTTTAGAGGCCGATCCACACTTCTCTTATGTAATCTAGGCATCCACTGTAGGATGCGTTTAGTCCACCTAGTATGAACTTGTCTGGTAACATGTCCTACAAAAGAACTGTTCGTTGCAGTAGTACGTTGAAGCAGTCTTTTAAAGTTATTCCTAGTATAAGTCGTTCCAATGCGCATGGTGTTCCTCAAAAGTAAGAATCTTGGTCTCTGTTAGAAAAAACTTGACGTAAGTGAAACATAGTCAACTTTAAAATAGTTATTTATATCATTGTTGTATTGTAGCATACCCCTGAAGATGGCTTTGTTAGCCGAAAGCGCTCAGATAGGAAATAAATGTTTACACACTTCAAAAATACTTTTCTTTTCCATTCTTTGATTTAGATAAAATTAAGGTAAAAGAGGTCTCAGACAGGATTGTGTTCTGTCGCCAGCGCATTCCTCAATGTCTATTTAAAAGAAATAAATAAGAAAGTCGTTCATGTAACTAACTGCAATAACGATTACCGTCATGCCATTTGTAATATTCGATAAACAGTTGATATCTTCTTCGTCTTCTTATTCCTTCTTGTATGTATGCTTTAAAGCCTGTTTCTTCTTCAATATTAGCCTCCTAAATTGTTTAAATTCGCACCATCTTTTTCTTGTTCTGTCGATACTTCTTCTTCCATTTGGTGACTTATCTTGTGTTATTCGTATTATCCGATCCTTTGCACCCAATTTGCCAGGACAACATATATAAGATAACATGGAGATCAAATGATGGAAGAACGAGGAACCAAATTGATCACGTATCACGTAAACAGATGAAGATCGAAAGATGGAATGTGTCTAAATTGGAAGAAGAAGAGGGAAAGAGACAATACCAACTAGAATTGAGAAACATATTCCAGGATTTGGAAACGAAAGAAAATGAAAGAGAAAATATAGACCAGAAATGGCACTCCATTAAAACGATCATTACAGAAACAGCAGAGAAGTGTATAGGCCGGAAGAGAAAAGCAAAAAGAAAAAATGGTTTGATAAAGAATGCGAGGATACCTTAAAAGAAGCAAACAAAAGAAGAATTGAATACCTAGCAAACCCGACGGATGAAAAGCGTGAACAATACAATAGAGAGAGAGCCTTAGCCAGAAGAACAGTAAGGAGAAAAAAGAGACAACATTTACAACAACAAATTGAAAAAGTAGAACGTGAACACAGAAGCAAGCAAAATAACAAATTCTACAAAGAAGTAAGACAACATAAGAAAGGTGCATATATAAGAACACCGAACTTTGTGAGAGATAAAAATGAGCAAATGATTACAGCTGAAAAAAATAATCGAAAGATGGGCTGAATACTTTGAAAGTCTTCTAAATGTCCAGGTAGACGCGGATCAAAAAAAAACCAAATTGTGAGTACCAAACGGCCGAGATAGAAGTACCCCCGCCAAGCCTGGAAGAAATTATCACGGCGATAGAAACCCTAAAAAATGACAAATCTCCGGACTAGACAATATTGATGCAGAACTGATTAAAAAAGGAGGGCATGAACTTAGAACTAAAATACACCAATTAATGAAAGAAGCCTGGGAACAAGAAATAATGCCAAAAGAATGGAGTGGCTGTATTATCGTGCCAATACATAAAAAAGGCAGAAAGGATACATGTGGCAACTACAGGGGAATCTCACTAATCGGTACTACATATAAGATATTAGCTTCAGTTGTACTAAAACGATTACTGCATTATACAGAGGAAATTATTGGCGATTACCAATGCGGCTTTAGGCCTGGAAGATCAACAATCGACCAAATATTTACTATCAGACAAATGCTAGAAAAGTATTGGGAATATAATAAAGAAGTACACCAGATCTTCATAGATTTCAAACAAGCATATGATTCCATAGATCGCTTAAAACTGTGGAGTGCAATGATGGAGTTAGGCGTACCAAAGAAGCTGACCATGATTGCGCGAATGTGTGTCAACAATTCCTTTGCACAAATTAGAATAGGAGGCAAAACTTCAAAGGCTTTCGGCATAAGCACCGGGCTCAGACAGGGAGACCCGCTGTCCCCATTACTATTTAACCTAGCATTGGAATACGCAATGCGAAAAATCTATACCAGAGTCAAACCAAACATAACTGCCAGAGAGCAAAGATTATTCTCGCATTTGCAGATGATGTAGATGCAGTAGCACAGACAACACTGGAAGTTAAGGATATAGTATCGAACTTTGAAGAAGCAACACTAAGCGTAGGCCTGAAAATAAACGAAGAAAAAACTAAATACATGGTCGTATCAAAAAAGGAACGACGACGAATACCTTTCTCCGCACTTGACAGTATGCCAACCTGCTTCCCGTTCTTTTGTTGCGAATATCTTTGCAGATCTGGAATGTACAGTAGAAAAGCCACTTTCACTCACATTCCAGATTTGGTTTGGAGACAGATTATTGTCGTCAATAAGCTTTGTCAACGTTTAAACAAATTCCATAATTTGCCAGTCTACGAAGTTCTACTATGTTGAAACCAGAAAAACGAACTTCAAGGTACTTTTAAAGGGGTGGCCAGTATTTTTTCAAACTCCTTGCTAAATGTAGGACTCTTACCACCCAAATATCCTTTACTGAAATCTGTACCAGAACGATTTTACTTATGAAATCTTCTACGTAATGTGCTTTGAGGTTTTTGAAAAGACAAAAATCGAAAAATGGATTTTTTGTATAAATAAAATGAATAAACTCAAAAAATTAACACAAAAACACCCAGATATTTTTATATTTATTTTAAAATTTAAATTTTGTTTTGCATAAAGTCGCATTGATTTAATGTATTGCATACGACAATAAGACTTATCTCATATTTCTTTTATGTTGAATCCTAAAATTTGTTTATTTTTTATTAGTAATTCGAAGAAGAAATCGACTAGATCATCGTCATCCCCGCTTGTGCCACCTCTGTCTGTTTACATGGAAAGGTACATTGAAAATTCCGGAACTATCATCACAACTTCCAAGTTCCAATGACTTATTTTATGCCTGCCAATACCTGATAAAGACAAGAAAAGTAAATTCATTTTTTTTTTCGAATGATTGTGCGTATATTTCAAAAGTTTTACTTTTATTTATTTTGAATAAGCATATCTAAATATTGTTGATTATTTTACCAACAACAAATACAGACATCAATAAACATGAAATGTAAAAATTGAGTAAACACAATATTACAGAAATATTCTGTATGAAAATATATCATTAATATTGGTCATTTCATTACAAGCATACGCTCTATACGACGAAGTTAAACAAAAGGGTGAATCATCTACCGAAGGTGAACCCCTTGTTGTAACATTATCGGTCCACAACCGGTGTAGAAATAGGACCGTGCCCTTACGAAACGTGAAATAGGTGTCTGGGTTGAATTGGGCACAAAATGCAAATGGATAGCTTGAATGACTGACTGCCTGTGTCTGGGGCCTGGGTCTGGCGCCTAAAAGGGAAGTTGCGTACGTGGGTGGGGAAACTTCCTGTGGTCATTGCACTTATCATTGATTTGGTTCTTGTGTTTGTGTTTATACAGGGTTCGCTACAATTTATTTATACACAATATGACTGTTTACTATAATAAACAATATGAATGTTTACTATAATCTGAAGTTTATAAAAGAAAAACAACAATGACATTTAGTAAATAGATCGTCAAAAAACTTTTGTTTTTGGATCGCTGGTCCATGGAAATCTTTGAGATTACCTATGTCCTATAGCATAATGAAGTAAGGGCCGGCTTACCCGGCCAGGTACTTGACAAATTTTTTCCTGTAGGATATGTGTCCAGGAAAAAAAAACGATCCTACATTCTTATACACTTTTCCTGCAGTAAATTATGTAGAGATTTTTAGTTATTAGTAATTATAGATTGACAAATAGGTATATTAGTTTAGTCGTCAGAGATTTGACCCCTAAAAATCGTACGAACAAGTTGAATTTTGCCAAGAATATCCATTTGGGAACTCCAAAAAAGATACAAAAAGTTTACCACTTTAAATCCCGGGTTTCCCCCTAAAACCCCCCATAGTAGGGGCGTAAAAACAGCAAAAAAATCGATTTACCTAGAATCTGAACGTCGTAGAAAAAATATTTCAATTTAAAAATGTAGCTGAGATAATTTTGAACAAAAATGTTTATTAGCCCAATTGTGAAGAACCGTTCTTTCAAAAACAACGCTTGAAGCAACCAGCGATTCTGTATGTCAGTTCGGCGCGCGAAATCAATGTTAAATAAAATTTGTATCAATACGACGGTAAAAAATCGATATATTTTGATCAGACTGTCCTATCTACAAAAATTAAAATGCGTTATAAAGTTGAAGAGTGCAGCTTTCGTACGGAATTTTTTGATTTTGCCGCAAATGAAATCAGTGTCTATAAAGCTGTTCAATAAATAAACTTTGCGCGATTTTCGCCATTTTTCCAATTTTCGTGAGATCAATAAAATTTATT